AGTTAGTGGGCACATGCCTCTCTAGGTTCCAGTTTTGATCATTTGCTAGAATTTTGAGATTATTATTAATATTTTGATGACTGTAAAATACCATGGCTGCAATGATCTTATTCTGTGGTTTCCCACTGGGTGCATAAGCTGGGGGAACAGATGTTCAGATGAACAGAAATGATTTTTTAGCCTCAACAGTGTATATGTGTGAAGGGAAAAAATGCACAAGAGAGCGAGGCATTTCAGTGTGTTCAATTTCAGCTTAATTAGAATAGGAAGACTATTAACAAGTTATTTTTAAATGCACCGGAGATCAGGAGGCATATTAGAATTAAATTACACTGTGTGAGGCTGATTGGCAGGCCATGTAATATGGGCAAGTTCACAATCTTGTCTTTATCAGCATAGTTTGCAAAGTAGGCCTGAAAGACATGGCCCCAAGCCCACAGTGTGGAGCTATAATTATTCATGTAAAAAGGGAAACTAATTAGAAATGCGATAAGCAACGATTAGGCAGCCTATTTCAGAAGGAAAGTGCACAAAACGAGCAGATGCCAAAGTGGAGGATTTAGTGAAAAGGGACAGACACACTTGTTTAAATGAAAAGTTTCCTGTCTGTCACCCAGGGAAAGGATTTCCCTCAGGACTGGATTATTAGCATGTTATTTGCATAGCGAGTTTAAAAAGAAGCCATCACAAAATAGCAACTCCTGGGCACAAAGGGTGACTTCCATTCAAAAGATGCTGACTGGTACCATAAATAAATGCCATTATTTACTTAATATATTTTTTAAATCAATTCAAGATTTTACTTGGCCGTATTTCAATCAATAATATTTGTGAAAGTTCTGACTTAATGTGTTAGTGTAATTTTCCCTACTATAGATTAGAATAAAAGCAAATGGGCCAGAATACTTTTAAAGGTTGGCACGTCTCAGATATCACTACCCATTTCCTGTGTTAGGAAACACTGTTAATACACATTTACTCATCTTCCAATCATTCAGCAAGCATTTCATACCTATCAGGTGAGTGGACAACAAAATTAGCGGTGGAGATAAAATAGCAGCTTCTGGCTCTCATGGAGCAAACAGAAGCATAAGGGAGAGAGATGAGAACAAGAGTCACGTGGTACAGCTGGAGGAGTGGGGCATTTCCTCAGGTACCACGTGGACTCTTTGTCCTGCTGGGCAGGCCAGTTGCTTCAAGAGACAACACGAAGCAGAAAATAAAGCTAACCATTTCAGCTGTTCCAAAATCCAGTTCCAGAAAACCATTGGCTTCATACCCGGAATTCACCTTGTGAAGCCTGAGCTTCTTATTTGCACTCTGAAAATCTAATGTATCTCCTGTGAAATGGGCATATCCGTCTCACGGAGCTAATGGCAGGTGAAACCTAGTAACACAGCAGGTACTCCGTGAGTGAGCATTCTCATTCACTGCTAGGATTTCAACACCCACGCAAGATGCTTGCCCTATCTGATAGGCCTGCAGAAGGTGTCTGTTTTCCTGTGTTATTACTATTGTCTAGGATTTACCTAAAACCCTCTCTTTCCAAAAGAAACTCTTGATATGTATTAAATCAACTTAGTATTGACCAGCATGTTCTGAAGGTTTTCCAAGTTCAAGACACAACTACAAAGCCTTGTGTATATTGCTCACCACAAGACTAAAAATCTCCTATCCATGATGTGTGGAGGCAAAGGAGGGTAAGCAATCCCACCAGATTACATGGATGGCAATGGAGGAGAGCATGTAACCAGTAAGAATTCTCACTGCTACACTGCCACTATTTAAAATAGAACAGCCGGGCGTAGTGGCGCATGCCTGTAATACCAGCACTCTGGAGGCTGAGGCAGGAGGATCCCTGTGAGTTTGAGACCAGCCTGGGCTACATAGTGAGTTCCAGTTCAGTCTCAAAAAACAACAACAAAAATAAATAAATAAAATATAACTATAACACAGAGCTCAGTGATTTTCAGCTGAGAGAGACTTTGTTGTCTAGGGGACATTTGGCAATGTGTGGAGACATTTTTGCTTCTCACAGTTGGAGGATGGGTGATACTGGTATCGAGTGGGTAGTGACCAAGGATACTGCCAAACATCTGACAATGCACAGCACAACCTCCCTTTCCAACAAAGAATTATTCATCACAAAATGTCAGCTATTCTGAGGGTGAAAACCACGATGTACCCTAACTATTCTGAAATTCAGCTATTTAGAACCCAGTTGATAACTCACAAATCCCGCACTTTCCAAAACGGGTATTTTCAAGTTCAGTCCGAAAATATCATCTACTTTGTCACAAGAAACGCTTGAAGCAATGACCTGTAGTCAATTTTCCAAGGCGTATTCATCTTCCATTGAGATGAATCAATTAAAAGCACATATGGGATGTGAGAAAAACAAAACAGGGATGAAATACATCATATGAGCACAGTCACAAAGACAGCTGATGGCCTGCTAGTGTGAATAAGAACAAGAACAGAGAGAGGTGAAAACTCTTTGAAGCACTCTTCACTGTGGCAAGCCCTGGAAGCAAGAGCCTTGTGGATAAAGATAGCTCCTGGGAACAGGAGAGAGGTCACACGAGCACACAGAGCTTAGATAAGTAGGGCACAAAACTAAAGAGCAAGTGCATCTTCTTTTTTTCCAAACGTTGCTGCTTCATCTCATATTAGTAAGCTTTTGGAGGAGTTCATGGGAAGAAGATAATAAATATGGTAACATTGGAAAGGATTTGTCCACTGATGCTTTCTGCACAACCTGAAAAATAATTTAGCAAGGCAAATGGGCTTAAGTAGTAGAAACACAAATAGGAAGCAGGAAGTTCACCTGGGGACTTTTGCTTTATTCAATCTAAAAAACATTTTAATTATATAAAAAGGACAATTCATAGAATGAAAATAAGTCCTTGAGTTTTTTTTGGTATAAAAAGAGTTTATTTTTCACATTCCTATTTTAATACACGAGTCCAGCTGAAGTGTTCTACAAAAGAATAAAACTTTTCCTTTGTGCATAGTAGTGAACATATGTCAGTATTTTTAGGAAGTACAGAATGTTATTCCTTGGTCTCTTTTCTTGAATAAGAAGAAAACATAAACAAAATAACCCACAGTATCACCTGACATCACATTCCAGTTTCCGCTGACGATGACCAGGAAGTGAGAAGCCTCTTGAATCATGGATTATCCCACACCGATGGACCAGTATTCTAACAATTCACCACTAGAGGTCAATAAGCAACAGCTATTGGGATGGCATGAGCAAGTCCTAAGGTACAAGGAATTTCTGGGTGCTTCCGTGGCCTTGCAGGAGAACTATCCTTCACTTTCTCCCCCACCCACCTGGAGAGGGTGCCTAGAAATTCCATCCCCTGTTCAGCATATGTTCTAAAACCTCAATGAGATAAGACCTTCCACACTGCAAACAGACCAGGTATGCCAGTCCTCCTCTAATATTCCTATTTGGTGGAAAATAAGTTGCTTCAAAAACAGTTTTTTAAAAAGATGGCTGCTTGCAGCATTAATACTTGTTTATGTGCTAACAAGTTCCCTATGGAAAATTAAAGCTCATCCTTTGCTCTTGTACACATGGACCCAGATTTCCTAACTGCAAACGGGACTCCGATGTCCTACATCCAAGTCCTCAAGAGTAATTTCTGCAAAGGCTGGAAAGGCTGACGTAATGCAAAGATCTGTAACCACGAGGAAAGCTTCTTGGAGTTAAGACTTTTCTTCCTTAAGGCAGAGGGAAACATTCTTAGCATATAAGCAAAAGAGACCAGGTTAATGAGGAGCATATACAGGAAGTCCCCTGTAATCCAACAGAAGGTGAACTTCAAATTTTGACACCGGAAAAGGTAATTAAAATCCTATTGCATAGCCGTAGAATAAATGCTTGAATGCATGTTTCTTACACAGGACCATGGTAAGGGGTGGTGACAGTCAGTGGAAAGCACAAATGTTTACTGTGAGAAGAGATGCAGCTTTTGAAGAGAGTCTGCCTTCATTTTTGTACACAATGTGGCTTGAGAGAACTGGAAACCATTTGCTATCCTTATCTGGGATCCAGATTTTTCTGCAAAATCTCCAAATATTTAAAAAGCGGCTCAACTTTTTTTAAACAGTGTGTTGATCAAGCAAAACATTTGTTCAGAATGTCTGGAGGACACAGTTTTGATAGTGGCAGGATTGCCTAGTTTAAATCCTTTGCACCAGAACAGAATGTGCTTGCGCATTCGGGAGGAGCCCAGAATGATGTATCACGTTAGTGTTTGCATAGAAACTGCAGGCTCAGGCCAAGTGTGACAAAAAATTTAAATACAGTAAGCTGCATCAGTTGGGAAGTTTGTTCCATTTTTAGGAAAGGATGAAGTCCTGCAGTGGACACTAGAAACACTGGCACGGTGAGAAAATTCAAAATAACAATCTCATGAGTAGATTGTGTGGCAATTTCATGGGTGGGGAAATGAATCCTGATTTCTCCACTGCCTGTGAAAGGAGAAGATGAGACTTAAGATATTTTAGCTGTCAGATGGGGCTGAGTTTGTGAACAGGGTTGAGAAACGTGGTTCACAAGTCAGATGCAGGGCTTGGAGGTTAAGCGAAAGGTCCAGGAGGAACAAAGGCACACAGGAGCCCCAGGAATACTGGTCCCCTAACAGTGCGATTATACTTAGCTCCATGGCCAGAAAAGAGCTGTCCTGAAAGGAATTACCATTGCAAAAGCAAGTGCAGCACAGCTCTGGGATGTGGAGCCACTCTCCTAATGCAAAGTTCTCCCCCGTGAAGTGGCGAGAGAAACATCACACGTGTGATTGTCAAGTGCTAATGCTGTCAAGAATCCTCACCTCCTCTGCCGGGTTCTGGAGCTTTCCAGTAAAACCAATTTCCTGGGAATATTTTATCTTTTTTCTTTGTCTCTTTTCAGAGTATGGCTATAGATATAGATATAGATATAGTTATAGATATAGACATATATAGATATATATATATATAGATATATATATATATAGATATATATATATATAAAACATAGCTATTCCATACTTATATACAGGCATTAATAAAGTGCAAATGTTATTGGCTATTGTAAAAATCAATCTCATTTCCTGAGGAAGTGCTAACACAGCTTATCCGTCAAAGGCATAGAATGTGATCACACAGATCACAGGGAGGAAGTGACCCTTGGTTTTCCAGGAAGCATCAGTTCAGGGGAAGCTTCCTGCTGCCTCTGTTCTTTGGTGAGAGGGGTGGCCTCTTTGGACTGGGCCTCATCTGCCCCAAGGAGCTATTTGGTAGTGTTCAGAGAGCCATCTTCGGGAATCTTCTCCTCGGAGCAGCTCCTCCTGGAGAGTCTGTCCAGGTGCTCCAGCTCACTAAAGCGTTCTGCCACACACTGGGCCGTGAGACGCGCCTCTGGGTCGTGATCCCAGCACTCAGTCAGTGTCTCACACACCATCTGGATGCCCTGTAGTGGAAGAGAAGTCCAAAGAGCACCATAGGTCGTTATCAGTCAAAGACCACACACTCGATTAGGGTTCATCCTTCGTGCTGTGTATCTTCTAGGTTTTGACGAATGTGTAATGATATGTATCTGGCATTATAGTATCATACAGAACTTTCTCTGCCTGAAAAGTTGCCTGTGCTCAGCATATTCATCCTTGCTCAGCCTCTTTCTCTCCCTTGCCTTTTACTGCCTCCTTACTTTTGTCTTTTCCAGAGCAGAATGCTCCGACTCAGAGCAGTGTACAGGAGCAGACCTGGTTTCATTTTGTGAAGACTGTGAAAGCCAGTCAAGAAAGCACCATGGAGACTAAAAAACGGGTAAACTCATGGATCTTTAACTTGTTACTCATTAAAAGTTTGATTTGTGTTCTATTCTGATGTTGTCAAGGACTTAAACATTACTTTTGCTGTAAACTCACTTGGGCCTCCAGATGCCAAGTTGGTAGCTAAATGCAGCGTAAAGGTTGACATTCATTTTGTATCTGTCTCTTTTATTTCCTTAAAACTTTGAGTCAGATTCTTGTTCAGTTCTGCATCGTGGCATGTTTATCACAGAGGCAGTGTCTGTCTAAAAGCTGGCAATATAAGGTTGATTAGCCCTATATTATGTATTCTATCTCAACCCCCTTCAAGACTGAGGATACCAGCGCAAGAGATTTACAAGGATGTTCAACTACCAGTGCATACCTAGAAGCCTCCAGTCATTACCCTAAATTTTTGGTCACCTTGGGCACCACGGATTGATGGTGTCTGCAAAAGGGAGACCACCTCAAACAGAAATTGTAATACAGTGGAGAAGAGATTGCCCCCTCAGGCTACAAAGACTTCTCCAGGCATCTTGCAAAACCAGAACTGAGATAATGATCAACCAGATCCCAGCTACTCCATAAAAGCTATGCCTTTTTATCTCGATCAGCCAATCAAATCTTCTCCATCAGAGTTTTGCCCCCTTCGGCTCCTCAAACTGAAGCCTCTTCCCAATTTTCTCTGCCCGATACACTTCCCTATGCATCTTAACTGACACATCCTGATATGCTTTTCCGTGACCATAAGTCAAGAACCTGTCACAGCTACGTTTGAGTCCTCATCTCATCTTTAGGGGAACTTCCTCAGGCCCCATCTGATGGTACATGTTCCATGGAATGATTTAGTAGCACCTCCGAAGAGAGAACAAGGACGACATCTGTGACGCCTATTCCTTGCCAACATTGGTCACTGTGACACAGATATCTCTGTATGTCACATGTGCAAGCCTGTAAGCCATTTCATGGGGTTCACCCTACGCTTCAAAGACCCCAATCCAGTCAGCCCATCCAGGACACGCTGCATGGGAAGGTGGCAAGAATTTTCTCTCATTGGCTTAACTTTTATTTTGCGTTACAAATACTTGGGTCACCATTTCAAATCCTTTTGGAATATAAAGCAAGGAGGAGCTCAATATGCACTTACTCTGGGAGATGGAAATAAAGTGAGCTCTGTCTGTGTGGAGCATCAACACTGCCTACAGGGATCTCACACAGGCGGCCATGATGTATTCTCACACTGTCCTGGAGAACTAGGTCTTGCCTTTCAATACCAACAACTTCCCAACACACCTAGGAGCTTCTCTCTCTTCCTCTCCACTCCATGAGTTTTTGATGTTGAATTAATTACATAATTCACCTAATTGACGGTATTGATTGATGGCCCTGTTAGGAATAGAGTGTTACTGTTGCTATACAAGTAACATTTATTTTATTCTGGCACTGTAATTATAGGCAGTAAATTCAATTAAATATTAAGCATTAACTTGAAATCAATAGGGCAACAAATCTCATTAAGAGAATAAATGTATTATGCAAATTCTTTCCAGAATTTTATCATCATGAATAATGGTTTCATTATAAGAACTGTGCGGCAGAGGAAGCAACAGAGTTTGAAAGGAACAAACTAGTCTAGCACCTTCTCATTCCGGAATTTATGCAAACAGTGTTACATTTTCAGAGTCAAAGATAATTTGCCTGAAATCCTGGAGAAGTCCTTGGCCTTCTGCAGCCTGGGTCACCCTCAGCCTGATTTTATTAAGTTCTGAGTGGCACTGGGCTGGGACTCACTCTGACAGGCTTCCTGCTCCATTTGTCTTGCCTTTCGAGCCTGATTTGTTGTTTCTGCCTCTTATCTGAATTCGCCTTACCCTTAGGAAACCCTACAACTTAGCATCAGTCTTCAAAGATGAGCGAATCCATCCAATAAAGGCAATCTCAGGTTTTAGTTAGTAGAAAGAATTGTTTTGTCAGTGGGGCACCGTTCTCTCATTCTTCACTAAGGGCTCTTTCCTGGGTGCGGCACACATCTGGCCAGTGCTCCCTCACTCACAAAAGACTGTTCTCTTCTTTGTCTCTGCTCACCGCTCTCATCACGTACCCGCAAAAGCAATGAATTTGGACAGGCCTCCCTGAAGTCCAGATCACTGCTCTGCTATAAGCAACCTGAGCTTCCATTTCTTGAAGAGAAAGATAAGAAGTCATAGGCTGTTCCCTACAGGCAGGTTTCCCTTTCCTTCACTGACTCCTCCCTCACAGGCCCCTCACGTCCCCCTATGTACAGTCTGGGCACTGCCTTGCCCCTGCAGTCATTTCTCATGTTCAGCTGCCTAATGACCTTGCTTATTTCACTGTTGCCAGGGGTTTCTTTCTAGAGCTGGAGAATCCCAGAGGAGATCTGTAAGAATCCAGACTGAGTGCCACGTGAGCTCCTGATGTAAAGGTGAACAGAGGCTGCAAGCTTGACATTTTAACCCAGAACCAAAAGGGTGTGGATGCTATGACAAATGCCCTTCAAATGGATGTTTGTGAGTCATATACCTTCTGGTTGCAACTTATAACAATGGGAGCATCATTTTATTGTAACTTTCTTTATAAACAAACCCTAACTGGGCCATAGAACACAAAGGCACCTGGCCTTGGGTTTAAGCCCAATATCCCAGAATTCTCTCCTACCTAAGAGGCAGATGAATCTCATTCACCCTTCAGCTGTCTTCTTACCTGGTGGTTGAGCCAGAAGCTGGGAATGTCTGGTCGTCCTCTGTCTCTTAACACATTGTCCTTCATGCTCTCTACACAAGGATGCTCGCGCACCTTGGAACCAAATGGAGGCTCATAATCTTTTACTTCTGTGAAGAGAGCAGGCAAACACAGGCCAATTGAGAATGATGTGTGCAGCTGAGGGAAATAGGCATGTTGAGATGCTGGGTTGGGTTGCATGAGATAGTGAATGTCAAAACACATCTGTAATTACTTTAGGAAGAATTTTCAATAACTGCATTAAAGTAAAAAGGAAGGAATGGTTAGGGTAGGATTATGGGAAGAATTCAACAAATGATTTTTGGGTGCTCGCTCTGTGCCAAGTATCTCGCTAACTATCTGGTAACAAGGTGGAGAACAAAACAGAGAATGTCACATAGCTTACGCTTCACTGCAGAAACTTTTGATGGAGTTGATTTTCACCAAAGAGATGGGATGAGCTCTTGACAGGTGGGGAAAGTGTGCACACTACAGTGATATGTGGTCCTCCACAGGCCCACAGCTCACAAACTGACTTAGGAGGTGGTGCTACATTTCTGAGAAAAGTTAGCCATACAGAGGTGTGAAACTGCGATACATGCCAAAACGCAAGTGCACCTTGAAGACATTATACTACAGGAATAAGCCAGGTATAAAAGAACAGATAGTGTATGATTCCACTGACATGAGGCTCCTTAATGCCATGATCTGAATGCTTCCACCAAAACTCCTGAAGAAATTTAATCATCATTGTTAGGTATTAAGAGATGAGACCAAATGAGACCTTTAAGAGATGGTGAGGTCAAGGGGGCTCTACCCTCAAGAATGGATTGATTCTTTCATGGATTAATAGGTTGACAGGTTAATGGGTTATGTCAAGAACGGATCTGTGAATAAATGAATTAATCGATGGATTGATCCTATCCAAAGTGGTAGTACATAAAAACCAAATAAAACAATCTAATTTAGGTGCAGGTCAATTGAAAAGAGAGAGAACACTCCAATGCTAAACCATGACTGTGTTAAAAGGGACAGTGGGCCTAATTCCACATTTTCCCCAAAGCAAGTGGAAACTTTGGCTTTTGGCTTCAAAATAATATTACTTAATGAATAAAACTTTCCATAATTAGCCCTTCCAGACTAAGAATTGAAAAAACGGCTTTCATGGCAAAAATGACATTTTGAAAAGGGATGGCCAGTTTTTGCTTTTTGTTTTGCTTTGTTTTCCTTCTTCTCCTTTCCCAGAACCTTAGTTGCATATTTATTTTCTTCAGCCTCACCCAAGTAGAAGAGCTGCAAAGATATTTTTTAATAGAAATACAGAAAGGTTTGGGATGAAGCCTTTTGCCCCATTACACTGAGACAAAGGCAAAATATCATTTTCTGTCTGTTTTCTGCCCTTAATGCTATTGATCACTCCATCCACACTGCTTTTGAGGTGAGGTCTTTTTGACTCGAATGGTACTTCTGTCTTCTTTATTCCTTTCATTTGCTATTTTCCGACAGACTGTACATCCTTAAGGCCCAAAAAAGAGGATGAGTTTTGCGTCTTTAAGTTTCCTGCTCAGAGTCTTCAACTTTGCAGTTAATAAACAGTAGTTGAGCTAAATTTAAATAAATGCTGTGACATGACCGGGGTGTGGTAGCATATGCATTCCCGTAATCCCAGCACTCTGGGAGGATGAGGTAGAAAGATCACAAGTTTGAGCTCAGACTGGGCAATTTAGCAAGACCATGTCTCACACAGAAAAGAAAGAGAAAAAGAAAAAGAAAAAGGAAAGGAAGGGGAGAAAGGGAGGGCTGAGGATGTAGTTCTGTGCTAAGGCTTGAGTTCAATGCTTAGAACAAAAAAAAAAAAAAAAGGAAATGAAAGTAAGAGCTGGTTCTGGGTAAGGGTTTACTCTGATCTCTTCTATAAAATGTATGCACTGTACTGAAAAACCTCCATGTTCCCCTTCAGATTTATCCCCATCTAATAAAATCATATTCTTATTGCCATGCCTTGACGTATGCGTACTATATGAGGATTGGATAGGATAGGATTTGTATGTGATATAAAGTGTTCCTTAGACACTGTATCTGTCCATGTGCTCTCCATTTCCAAGTCCTGGCTGCTGTAGCAGTTGTGGTCTAGATCCCCTTTAGCAAGCCTAGAGCATAGCCCCCAGCTGCCACATGTGTTGAGCCATAGGGCTCTTGCCTTCACCATTGTCTGGAAGCTGGCCCTAGGCTGATGGGAATTGCCTAGCCTGGAGATTTCTGACCATAACTGCCTCACCGCAGGGTCATCTGTAGCCAAAGACAAAAAGTATGAGTGTCAACAATTAAACCCTTCATCTCTGGCTGGAATTCATGAACACAGACCTAAGAGATGTATATAACTCTACACTTCTTCTAAAGTCTTGGGAAGTTGTGAGATTCCTTAGTAGACCCCAGGGATGCAGGGTTGACTTGCCCTCCACTTGTAGGAAATTTCACAAGGAAGGGAGGTCAAGGGGGGCTGGAAAGTACTGCCAACGAGACTATTAGGGATACACTGGTAGGATCTGACTCTTTTGCCTGGAAGTTTAACATAGAAAAGTCTGAGGTGATCAACCTCTGACCCAAACTAGCATCTTCCTATCCCCTGATAGTAAAGTAGTCTTTTAGGTTAGGAGTGAAGACGAAGATTTGAAATGTGTGCATGTTTTAAGTGAAGCTTTCTTCAGCTTTTGAGAAATATTTATATAATAAATATAGCTAAGGTTGTTTTTCTTATTATGGGGTTTTGCAATTCTTTCTTTGTCTTTTCTCTCCCTTTGAATAACCTATTCCCAACCCTGTTTTTTCTTGCACAACATTTACTCAGATGACTTCACAGTTGGCCACAAGCACATCTGCCTGTCCATCAACAGTGCTGCTATCTGGGTGGGGCAGCCAAAGCGCCTATTTCTATTAGGACCTTGAGAAATGCTGCATGGTGACAGTTTGTAATTTCTAGAAAAGCTATGCCAAAAGTGAGTGGTTACAAAAAACAGCCCTCTCTTGGCCGGTCATGGTGACACACACCTGTAATCCCAGCACTCGGGCTACATAATGAGTTCCAGGTCAGTCTCAGCTACATAGTGAGACCCTGTCTCAAAAACAAACACAAAAACCACAAAAAAGACCCTCTCTTTAACTGTTCATATTTACCAATATTCAACCCAAACACTTGTGCTTTCTAGGCTCAGAGAAGTAGGTGGGAAGTGGGGTATGGAGATGGGGACCATCTCATTTGAATCATGGGCACCAGATGAAGGGATGGTTGGGAGTAGTTACTGCAGTATTTTCCAGAGTTCCCCTTTGCATGTTTGAATAAATGATGCCCAACTTCAGGCCTTCCTTTTGTGAAGAACTGCAAAGAAAGCAACTTAAAGGCAGAGAGGCCTTGGTCCACAAAGAGTGCTAGGACCTATAATAAAAAGCATTTTTAAAAATTGGAATTGCCTTTAAGAAATGAACTTTAATAGCTCAGACACAAGTACTGAGTTTCATTCTAAAAGAAGTGCTAACAAGCATGTGTGCCTCTTATCCTAGCATTCTGGGAGGCTGAGGCAAGAGGACTGCAAATTCTAGCCTAACCTGGGGAATTTAGTAACTTAGTGAGATTTGTCCCCTCAAAATAAAAAATAAAAAAAAGGACTGGGGATTTAGCGCAGGGAGAAGGCCCTGGGTTCCTTCCCCACTACCACACACACACACAAGTGCTAGCGATATGATCCACAAGGTGAGGTACTATTACTCATTTCTCTCCTGGCTTCAACATGAACTAGATATGAAGATTGAAAAAGAGGTGACAAAATTTTGTAACTATAGCTAACAACAATTAATTGCATATTTGCAAAAAGCTAGTAGAGAGGATTTTAAATGTTCCCAACACAAAGAAATGATAAATGTTTGATATGATAATCCTATTACTTTGATCTGATCCTTACACGTTCTATACATGTACTGAAACATTACACTTACCCTACAAATCTGCAATGATGTGTCATTTAAAAAATGTTAAATTAGTGCTTGCACACCAGACATACTCATCTACCTCATCTTTGACAAAGGAGACAACCATTCTCACTGGAGGAAAGATAGTCTTTTTAATAAATGGTGTTAGAAAAACTGGCTTTCAACTTGCAAAACATTAAAACTAGACCCTTATCTTTCAGCAGGCACTAAAGTCCAAGTGGATTAAAGATCTAAATATCAAAACAAACACTAAACTTACTGGAAAGTAAATTAGTAGAACTCTTGAAGACATTAGCATAGGAAAAGACTTTATGAACACATCCTCAGCAACACAAGAACTTGCACAAAGAATCAACATCTGGTATCTCATTGTATTAAAAAGTTTTTGCAGTGTAAAAGAAATCACCAACAGAGCTAAGAGACAACCTACAATGTGGGAAAAAATTTTTACCAGCTACTCAGATAAAGGACTACTATCTAGAATATATAAAGAACTAAAAAAAAACCAGACCCCACCAAATTAAAAAATGGGCATCTGAAATGATCAGACATTTCTCAGACAAGTAAAAGCAGCAAATAAACATGAAAAACTGTTCCACATCATTGGTCTTTCGAGAGATGCCGATGAAAATAAAACTGAGATTCCACCTTACCCCAGAAAGAACGGCTGCTATCAAGGAATCAACCAATAACAAATGCTGCTGGGGGCCTGTGGGGAAAAAGGAACCCTTCTCCATTGTTGGTGGTGTGAGTTTAGACTGGTGTAGCCATTGTGGAAATCAATATGGAGATACCTCAAAGAACTAGGATTAGAAGTTCCACTTGACCCAGCCATCCCTCTGCTGGGTATCTTTCCGAAAGAATTAAAAGAATCATATCACAGTGATGTATGCGCACCCATGTTTATAGCAGCACAGTTTGTAATACTAAAACTTGGAAACAACACAAATGCCCATCAACTGAGACTCGATAAAAAGATATGTTTTCTTATATAAAATGGAGTACTACTCAGCCATAAAGAATGAGAAACTAGAAACATTTATAGCTAAATGGATGCACATTGAGGCTATACTTTTAAGTAAAATAAGACACGAGTAAATACTGAATAGTTTCTCTGGTGTGAAAA